GTCCCAGGCCCAAGCCTTCTGTGACCTTCTGACCTGCCCCCATGCCAGGTGAATCTTGGATTAGCCTTACTTTTCATAAGAGACAGGCAGGGTGAGTAGGGTGCTGCTAGCAAACCAGTTTTCACCCGTGGGAGTGAGCTTCAGTTCTAAGCACGGTGGAAACCACGCTGGAGCTGACATTCCTGCCCTAAACACATTCTAAGTGCCATAGCTTTCGCTTACAAGGGGATGTGGGTCTCACGCTGCTAGTAGGTGCTCTTCTTCCACCACGTTCTTAAAGTCTTTCCTTGGATTCCTCTGGTCCTCCCCATTTTTCTCCTATTCCTGTCCTCACCTGGGTCACTCCTAAAATCTTGGCTTGTCCATCTAGCAACAGTGGAGTCCACACCAACCATTCAAAGATTGTAAGATCATGTTTCTGAGAGATTATTTCAAATCTGGGAAAGAAGCAGGGCTGTGTGTTACCAAGAAAGCATGGGTTTTTTTTCCTTGCTCTGGCTGGAGCAGCACTAGCTGGCCTAGTAATTTGCCATGGTGAGAATGAATTCCAAAGTCATCCTAAAGCAATTTACAGAAGCATAGAGAATAGGCTTGAAAGGGAATGTGACTTGGTCCATACTGCTATCCTCAGCTGCACTTAACTTCTCCTGGCAGAGATTTCACCATCTGAAGAGACAGCCTTCCAGGATGTACTGGGAGGAATGGGGCATGCAGTGGGAACCTCCCCGAGTGCAGCTCTTTGGCTCAATTTGCAAGATTGGCCCACACAGGTCCCCAGTTGCCTTAGCAAGACAAGCAATTATAACGGGCAGCTTCCGTTAAGGAGAATGAGGGGGAGTTAAGAAGGGACCGTTTAGGAAGAGTCACAAAGCCAAGGGGATGGTGTGGGAAGAATAGCTAAAGATTATTCAGGACTTCAGGAACCTCAGTGAAGTAGAAGAAAATCTTACGTGGTTATCTCAAAAGTCCCAAGCTGGAAGAGAGGATAGAAGCTCCTGGAGGTTGAAGCAGTGGCTGGTGTTTGCTCAGAGGCTGCATCGTGTGGGGCACTCAGTCCTGGTCTGTGGGGCAGCAGTGGTGCTGCAAGGTGGCCTGCCTGCCCAAAGCCCAGCCTCACGGCCTGGAAATGGGCTGGAAAAGGCAGGATGTTCTCAATGAACCCTGCAAAGACAATCTTCAAATGGACAAAAGCTCAACAGCTTAAACTCAAGGGACCATTGAATAAGTGGGTATGTAAAAAGAAAATAATTGATTGTTTGAATTCTAGAATAAGAAACTTTGTCAATCAGAGGAAAAAGTGAAAAAGTTTCACTTTTTAGAATGAATTGGACAAAACTGGCATTGCCTAAATGTGGCCAGATGTTTCTTTAACGGAGATGTTACAATTGCCAGCTACCACATGCTGAGATAGGAGATAGCGAGTGAAAGAGATAAGGGTGGTGCTTTATGCTAATGGCAATATTACCTGTTTTAGAATGAGAGGTAACTTGGAGCAGACTGTATGTAGACCAGCACGTTAATTAGTAAAGCCCAAGAGGGAGTACTCTGTGCATGCCAGTGTGTATAACTGACTACCTCATCAAACAAGGCCCAGGACGGGTGTCTCTCTACAGGCTCATTTGCAATGTGTGAAAAGAAAACTGTATTTGCATAGTGAATTCGATTCTAGGACACATCTGTGGAGATTGCCTGCAGGCCACAGCCAAGTCTCATGAGAGTTTCTAAGTGTACTGGAGGATAATTTCCCAGCAGAGGATGCATCCATCCAGCACACGCTGTCTCCCTTTCAGGTTCATGGTGATGGGAAAAGAAGAATTTGTCGCTGAGCTAGCAGCAGCTAGTTGCTTCATTACAATCAACGCGAGCAAAGTCAGGACAATGGTAAGTAGTCATATGTATTTGAATTTACTAAGAGACTAATTTTCCCCAAGCTGAAGAAAATACAAATTGCAGTTCGTCCTGAAGAAAACTCAAGACAAATTTAGTGAAATTTGACTGAAAATTGGGTTGCTTAAGCAGAGTTCAGCAAATGACCAAAAGCTGTAGTTAAAATAGAGAGCGGTTTTGATGTTGCTCTGTGTGACACTCTGGTTGAACATAAACTCTTGAGGATGGGCAGCATGTATGTGTTAAACAGTAGCGCTGCTACTTGCCGGAGCCCAAAGAGAGGTGCTAATGACTAGCAAGCAGGGGGGTCTCGTTCCACAAAGATCAGCTCCAAGCCCACTTTTTTCAACAGTAAGCTTGAAGTAAATATAAAATCACTGTATGCATCTTGGAGCACATGACATGGGCCATACATCCAAAAGGAGGTGCTGTGCCTCAGGCAGCCACAGCTCCCAGGAAGGATCTAGCAGCAGTAACAACATGTAAATAGCTCCACACGGGATGAACGAGGTGTGGGGATTGAAGATCCAGAGGAGCAGTGGAAAGGTGTAAGCAGGTGGTTTATCCTTCCTATTGGGCACTGTAGTGATGGACGCTGAGCCCCTCTGGGTAGCTCTGCAGCCCAAGTTTTCAACAAGATGTTTAAAAAGAGCAGGGACTGAGCCAAGCCATGGAAAACGACTGGAAAAAAATACAGCCTGCCTCCCCCAGCAATTTCAAGCGAGTTCAGCTTTTGGTTTCCCTTCCTAGGACCCAGCCTTGGGCTGAGCCACACTGCTGCTGGGCTCCAGTTATACCCTGGCATAGGGTGATGTGTTCCCAGTGTGAAGTTACTGACTGCTCTCTAGGCACATCAGGATCCTGGGGGATGAAAGGGGCCTTGTCCCTGCAGAGATAATAACACAACTCACCTTAACTATGGGCTTTCTGCCCTCCCCCACGCCTCCCCGGACCCCTGCTCCTGCCTGTCCGGCAGCACAAATCCCTCCTCGGCACATACCTGTAGCGCAGCACACACTTTCCTGCTTCCAGACAAAACACCCGGGCGTTTTCCCAGGGTCCCTAACATGCTGGCTGTAGCTGCCTGTTCTCTGACAAGGCCGAGCAACAACCGGAGGGATGCTGCAGCCCTCGGAGGGCTGCAGAGCTGCCCGGGAGGAGGTCACAGTCCCACTCCCGCTGGGTGAGGAATAAGAGGCGACGCACGTGCACGCACCTCCAAGAGCTGCTGTGGAAATGTCAGTACACCCAGAGCTTTGATTTATTTCTTTTGAGAGCAAAACCAGAGCACGCACAAAGCGGCGATTTCTCGTTATCGCTGTTTACAAGGAGCTTAGTAATAAGCATGAGTCGGTGGGGCAACACGAGTGATTTCTGTCAGCATTGGGAGGGACCAGAAATAAGGCGCCCAGCTCCTGTTTCTGTGTGAACAGTCACGTTCCCACCCCTCTCCCCATCCTCCCTGATGGGAGACGTCTCAGTTTATGACACTGTTTTTTACAGAGGCGGAGACCAGATTGGTAAATCCAGTGTAAGAGCCTGCATGTTTTAAAAGAGATCAGATTTCCAGAGATACTGAGAGATAGGGGACCTTCATCACGGGCACTGTGAGCTGCAGATGCTCTGCACCTCTGCAAATCAGGGTGCCGCTCTCAACTGCCAACATACAGAATTAATGCATGTTAGGGTCTCCAGCTTTCAGTCCACTGGACCTTGGACTTTCCAAGGGGCTTTTTCATTCCCCTTTGAGCGCAGCTGTTGGAGGGCTCCTTGTTCCTTCACCTGCTCTGGCCATGACTGACTGACCCCCTGACAGACACATCTGCCTTCATCACCCGGTGGTGCCCAGCCTGGAAGATGTTTTCTGGATGATGGTGTGTTAGACTCCCCAGGGAAGGGCACATCCTTCCAGTTTCCCTTGGAAGAGGATGGGAGAAGGGCGTGGAGCAGTCCTGCTGCAGCTTCCCCACTTTCTCATCTGGGACGTCAATCAAATCTAGTAGAAGGAGGTGGGAGCTGCTGCCAGAACTGGTGGCCACAAACTGGATGCTTTTACCAGGTTGGGGAACTAATGGGTCCATGTGTTCATAACGGCGCTGCGTGGCACAGCATGCCTAACAGGGCTGTGCAAACCTCTCTGGTCCTGTTCAGACCGAGGCTGCGTCTGGTCCATGGCTCTGCAGGTTTGGGAATGGGCAGGAGTGAAAAATCAGCACTGTGCATGCCGAGGCCTGGCAGAGTCAGATAATGGGGTAAACAGAAGTGAATAAAGAGAGAAAACCTGCACGGCCATACATCTTTCCACAAACAGCCCTTTCCAGTAGCGCTCGGCACTTTGCTGCGGGCTGGGAGAAAAGAAGCTTTGGTGCTGGCAGGAGAGAAGAGCTTTGGCTTTCAGGGCTGGGGAAGAAAATCCAGTAAAATTGTGTGGATGTCTTGCAGGGAGAGAGCAAGAAGTTAACGAGGGCGTCAGGGCTGTGGGAGGCAGGAGGGGGAAAGAGGCAGCACGGTGATGCTGGGAGAGGTGGCGGGTCAGTCCGCCTGACACTGAGCGTTGCTCACGCAGACATACCTATTGCAGGAGTCACCTTGGCTACCACTAGCCATGGGGCTGCACAAGCAGGTCGCGGAGCGCAGGCGGGCGGGCCGGCCGGCCGCCCTCGCTTTTACTCACCTTCTCCGGCCGGTTTTGCCACAGACTTGGGGTTTTTTTTTTTGTGCTGCCTCAGCTGCAGGCAGGGTTATTACCGCCCGGGCCGCGTCCCCACCTGCAGCGGCGGGGCAGGGACAGGAGATGGGGCTGAAAACTTTGTTGTCCCGGGTCGGACGGAAAGTAGGGAGGGGTGGGGGGGGGGGGGGAAGGGGTCGGGCTGGAATCCCGCCGGCCCGCCCGGACGGGAGGAGCGGGGCCGCCCCGGCCCCTCCCCGCCTCCCGCCCTCCCGGGCCGGGCCGAGGCGCCGCGGGGCGGCAGCCGGTGCGGAGCTCCGCGTCCCCCGGCGGCGGGGGCTGCCCCGCCCCGCCCCGCCCCGCCCCGCCCCGCCCCGCCCCGCCCGGCCCCGCCCCGCCCCGCCCCGCCCCGCCCCGCCCCGCCCCGCCCCGCCCCGCCCCGCCCCGCCCGCTGTGGGCGCACCCAGCCGCTCGCAGCCGGCCCCGCAGGTTCGCACCCCGGGCCCGGGTGCCGTCCCCGCAGGTGGGTCCGGGGGTTCCGCGGGGGAGAGCCGGGGGAGGGGTGGATGGGGCTGCCGCGCCGGGAGCGGAGCGGGGCGGCTGGGGCGAGGGACGCCGCTTTACCTCCCGCGTTGCCTTTCTGCCCCGGTGTTCTTTGCTTCGGAGTGTTTTGCTCGCCGTGCGCCCCTTCCCTACGGTAAGCGGGGTGCAGCCCCGAGAGACGCCCCCCACCCCCCCCACACACACACAGCGGCGAGGCCGTGGGGCTGGGCTGGCAGTTGCTAGAGGGAAATCGTGGCGGCACCCGCGAACGCTCCCACGCCGCGGCAGGGGATCAGCGGTGGCGGGCGGGCCGGGTTTGGGCTCACATTTTGGGGACGGAGCGCTCCTCGTTTGTTGTTTGCTGGCTCGGCGGTGCCCGGCGCGCACCCCTGAGCTCGAAATGGTGGCGGATTTGTGCCGGTGTTCGGTAGCTCTCTAGAAAATACCATCCCAAACCGCTCCAAGCAGCGCCGTGGAAGGAGGCTGGGGGAGCGGGAGTAGGAGCCTGCCGGCACTTTCCGACAGAAAAGAGCCGTCTTGCAGGATGCAAAGATGTGAAGTTGCAGCGCTGATTAGTTTGTTCTAACAAAACTGCTGCTACCTGGGCAAACTGCATGTATTGCAGTTTAATTTTTTTGGGGGAAAAAAAAAAAAAAAAGGTCGTAATCAACCCCACGGTGCAACCTGCCCCTTTGGGGGAGGCAGAGAGAAGGACCTGTGTGCCCCTTCACTGCTGGATCCGCAGTCCTGCCTCTGCTTGTTTGGGGTGAGAGCCCCCCGCGAAGCACTCCAGGACTGGGTGCATTTGCTTCTCCTCGGCTGCCCGAGTTGAGCATCACTCAGCACCCCGGGGCTTGGGCAGATCTTGGGGAGGGCGGCTCACGGAGCTCTCACCCAGACCTGGATTTTCCGCTGCCCCACAGGTGCTCTGCAGCCTGAGAGGGGCAGGGAGGAGGCCAAAGAAACCAGATCCCTGGTAACCGGGAGCTGTCAGTGTTGAGTTGCAGCTGACATTTCTTCTGCATCCTTGATGTATCTGCCACATCGCCTCGCCCGCCTGGTGCCGGGGCATTGCGCACGCCTCTCTTGTTGCAGACCCCTGTTCCTGCACAGTTTACCAGTAGAGCTTTTCATCCGGACTCGGTCGCGCCTCCAGTTCTGCAGCTGCACCTCTCAACCCCACAGCAAGCCTTGCCGCCGTTTGCAGGGAGCCCTGGCTGGCAGACCTTGTGGGAACTTTGGTGTGGCCCTGTCCCTTCGTGGGGTTGTTGCTTTGCCCCAGCAAAGGGACGAGAAGTCTGAGCAGGCGACCACTGGGTTCAGTTTGGCAACCTGCAGTACCCGGGAGGTGAGCTAGATGAGCTGTGGGGCATCTGGCTTTCAGAACCTTGAGTCAAATCTGTCTCATAGGGGGAAATATTTCCTGTTGCTCGGTCAGTAGGGGCAAGGCAAAAGAGCTGCAGTGCTCCATTCTGCCTCCTCTTTTGGGGACACAACAGGTCACTTGATTTCCAAAATCCTGCCAAATTTAAAAGAAAAAAGATGCTGACCTTGTTAGGGTTAGCAGCTGTCCCCATGCTTGCGGCTGTCCGGCTTTGCAGCCTGGCAGTCCTAGCCCTGCTTGTGAAAACACGGCGGTGCTGGCGCTGTGAGGGGCCGGTGTCTGATTGCATGAAGGAGCAGCTGTAGCTTTCTGCCAGCTTTGAAAAGGAAGAGCTCTTGAGGGCATAGGCTGCATCTGAAATGTAACTTTATGAAAATATTCCCTCTGTGGCCTCTTCCTCCTCTGCGTTTGATAGCTCAGCAGTGAGCAGCTTCAGTGGGGGTGAGCCCCTGCTTTTTAATTAAGCCATACACATCTCAACCACAGGGTAGATCTCTCTTGTAAATCAAAATACTAAATCATCAGGCTTTTCTACCTTTTATTCATGGCAGCTCTCAGAAGATGGTACAGTTAAGAGGGAAAAAATTGCAGGCTACACCTCCCTGTAAGGCTGTTTAACATGTTATAGTTTGTCAGGTTGGTGCAGACGCCTCAAAAGCAGAGGGAGCTGGTGGGTGCGAGGGATGCTGGAGCTGCCAGGTTGCTGAGCCCTGCTGAGCCCTGCCTCAGAGCAGCGCACTGGGGCACGTGCACAAAGTGGAATGGAGCAGTTATTTGATGGGAAAGGCCTGGGAAAAGGCAGTTCTTTGAAAGATGTCATGTCTGTGGACAGATGAAAGCAGGAGAGGACCATATGGAGGCAACACGGATGGGCAGGGACCCCAGGCTCTGAGCACTGACACCTGCCGATGCTGCACCAGGACAGTGTCACAGTGCCTTGAATCAGCATCCCGACGGGCAAGTGCGAGTGTCACACAGCTGCAACGGGGTGTCCTGCAGCATCCTGGTCCTGCGACCAGGTGCCAGCCTCCCTGGGGCAAGGATGCAGGAGCGATCCCTGGCAGGGATCCAGGATTGACCAGCCCCGCAGATGTGGTCCCGCTGCTTGCCCCGCAGCAACTACCAGGGATGCAAGGATAGCAAAACGTGAAGCGGATGCTTAGTGAATTTTGCACGCCTCCAACATTTCTTATCCTTGGGTGTGCCTGGCAGCACGGCGGGCAGGAGCTGCGTTTCTTGTGGGCGCAGGACATGGTAGCTGCACAGTTTGGCCCTGCAACCAGCCCCGGCCATTTCTGCCTTTTTGTGATGAAGGTGCAGTTCAGCAGGGAAATGGCCACGTGTTTCTGGAGAGGCAGCCCCTGCTGCCCCACTTTTGGGTCATCAGCTACACACCCAGCGCTTGGGACAGGGACCCTCCTTGGCCCAGGGCTTGGGGGGCAAATGAGGAGGTTGCCCTGTGGAGGCAGAGCAGGACCTGCGGGTGCGATCTCCCACTAATAAATGAAATGATGGATGAAGTCATTATGGAATATGAAACCCCAAGATTTTGCCCAAAGTGCTGAAAAACCTCTGCTTGGCTTCACTGTTCATGCAGCATGGCCACTGGGGTGTTACGCACCGTAATGTCCAGCTGGGGGGCAGAGGGTTGGGCGTGGGAAAGGGCAGAGGAGCAGCACCACATCTTCTCAGAGCTGTGCTCGGGGCATGTCCCCGGCCTGGTTTCTGGTGGGGGAGCCGCACTCACCTTAGCCCCGCCGAATGGTGAGGCTGCTGTCTTGCAGCACGGATCCCACCACCTCTCTCATTCGCTGCAGCAGGGTGGGCTTCCACCTGGGGGTACCGATGGTGTCACTTAAATTCAGCAGGAAGGAGCTTTCCGAGGGGTTTCTGGCTGTTTCCAGCTGGGGGGTGGGCACTGCACAGGGAGCCTTCCCAAGCCACCCAGCGCAAGTGGGGATGAGCTCAGCACGACAGACGGTGGGGGTCCCAATCCTTGGGCTCCCAGCCCCTTCAGGGAGACAGAAACCTGGAGGTTCACACTCATTTCATCCACGTGCTGCTCGGCCGCTGCTACAGCTGGGCACGTGGGAGGGCTCAGGTCTTTGCGTGGCACAGGATTGCTCAGTGGGCAGCTCCAGGCATTCGGTTCACCCTCCTATCAGCTCTGGTCGTGTTGGTCTCACCTGCAGCAAACTCCCCCCACCCAGCTCTCAGTATTTGCTCCCAGTTTTCTTTCCCTTGAGGATCTCCAACCTAATCTGTCTCTATTTCTTGCACGCCTATCATTGTATAGCAATTAGAGAGTTAAAAGCCTTATCAGCTCCCTGGCGGGAGATGGGTGAGTTACCTCGTTGCAGGTTCGCATGGTGGTTCAAAAAATCATGAAACCTCCATGCAAACCTCCTTTTTTTGCATGGAGGTTTCTTTAAATTCAAAACATAAACCACAGAACCGAAAAGAGCTAGGTGGGTATTTAACCTGAGGTTAAAAAGTTAAAAAGACTGGACACAGAGCTAAACATGCCAGCCTGGTGCCGTTCTCCCGAGCCGAGGGACCTCCAGCAGACAGACACGTAGCACTGGGGGGATCAGCAAGACCGGCATTCGGGCGTGATTGCCTTCGTGATTGCGGGAGATGCTATCAGAAACGGACAGGAGGCTTCAGAATTACAACTAGCTTCAGTCAACGCAGAATTTCAGGTTTCAGAGTCACCTGTGGAGCTCCCGGTGTGTTGGGAGGCAGAATCGGTTTATCCTGTACCTCTTGCCTTTGCATGTAGCAAGGTCCTGCAGCTCCTGGTAGTTATCACCCCTCACCTGGGGGTGGGTCACAGAGCAGGGGTGTAGCTTGGGACACTGCCTGGGTGGGAAGATAACCTGATTTGGGCCCTATGACACGACCCATGTGTGGCTGTGCAGTGAGCTAGCTGTGTGTCTGTCAGGGATGAAGACAGATTATCTGGGAGGCCTGGAGGTGGGTGCCTCTGGAAATCCCAGGGACAAGAGCGGGATGAAGCAAGAGGATGGTGTGGTCACTGAGAAGTAGAGTGATGGCTTTGCAGTTCCCAGGGGTTGAGGCTTTGTAACACAGATTTTAGGATTGTGTGCTGAGCAGAGTTTCTTGGTTTTCTTTTTCCTTTTGTGCTTGTAGGGGAAGGTCTGAAAACTTAGATGCTGAAGTTTTAAATATAAATTAAAAATAAGCTTCAGATACACTGTGTGTTTTAATTCATGTTTTGTGACTAGCTCTGTTGGGGGGGGCGTTGCAGTAAGTCTAGCTTGTGATTTTTTTTTTTTTTTTTTTTAATTTTTTTTTTTTTTTTGGTCGCCTTGGGGTTGGATATATTGCAGGTTTCTCAGGTCAAACAAGAAGGCATCTTGTTGGACAAGAAGAGCAGAAGGGAAAAGCAAGAGCCTGTCTCAGAAGTGTCAGTGTTTTCTGAATTGCAAAACCCCATCTCGTTTTGTTCATCTTGCCGGAACGGTTATCTGGACGACTTGCCGTCTTAAGTGTGCAGCCCAGCATCCTGCCCGGCTGGGGCTGGTCCCCACCGGCAGAGCTCCACCTCCTGTCACCAGTGGTAGTAGCAGCACAGACCGGCCGTGGGTGAGCTGAGCTCCTCCTGCTCCCCTCCCGAGGCAGCAGGACCCGCTCTGCTCCCTGCGCATCGCTCCTTCCCCCCCGGGTTGTTCTTCTGTCTCTCTGGCGTGCAGCAAAGCCACGGCTCGCAGCGGGTCACACAGCCGTCTTCCCCAGGGGTTCTTCCCAGCAGATGTGCTTCTCCAGATGTGCTCTGCTTCCTTTGCAGAGGTGTACATGTACCATTTCGCTGTCGGGGCCGATATGACCGGACAGGGTTGCAGGGCTCATGAAAACTGGCACATTTCTGAATTCAATTGCTCTGTTGTCTGCGGGTTGATGTCTTCAGTTTTCCACCTTTTGATTCACTCAGCTGTGACATCGCCTTATTCTTTGGGAAGAAGTCTCTCTTTCAACGCTACATCAAACAGAGCCAGTTGGGGTAAAATGTTCATTCTGCCTGCTCTGGGCCCATACATGCTGCATCAATTTTTCAGCTGCTTTACATTTTTTTTTGCTCGTCTTTTTCAAAAGAAAGGTTTTGAAGGGAAGAAGAAAATTTGAGAGAGTCAAGATGTGCATTTAGATGTCATCAACTGCATCTTTTTGGGGGGATATTTATGTGTTAGTCTGCAGTTGCTCAGCATTGGTAGATAAGCTATCTTGGGTCTTGAAGGATCTAAAGAAACAGGTTTTCCAGCCCTTGAGGATCAACCATTGAGATGACTGCAAATTGCTTTTATCAGAATATTGTTTTTAACAGTCAGTGCTTCCTTTTTACATTAGAAGATGACGGTGCTAATATTTTTCTTGTGGTCCAGTCCCTTGTTTCCTATCAACTTCAGGCTTGTTGGATCATGTCCGCGTGCGTACTGATGCTCAGCCATGGCCAAATACTGGCCACTGTGACCCAGCCAGCCGGCGGATGTAATACCACAGAAACCAAGGGCGGCAAGGGGAGGAGAACAAGGCAAGCAGAGCCGGCGGGCTGAGCAAAGGCTTTACTTCACCTGAAACTGTGACTGCTTCCACGCGGTGTGCGGGCTGTCGGGAACTGCTCTCATGGTGTTCCCTCACATCTGTTGTTTGAAAATCGAATGACAGTAAATTCCACTTACAAGTTGGTATCACTCTCTGGCTTCCCTTTTCCCTCTGCGGTGTTCAGGCTAACAGGAACATGAAGAGGTCGTAATGCCCTCAGCCTTTCCCTTCCTCTTTCTAGGAGCTGAATTTTCTTCGGAAATTACCCAAACAGGAGCCCAACGTTTCTGGAGTGACAAACACAGATAATGAGAACTAACTCCTCTTGGGTAATGAAGGGACTGAGAGAAGCCCAGTGCAGAAAGTCTTGGGGATACTGGTGGGTGAAAAATTGGACATGAGCCAGCAATGTGCGCTCACAGCCCAGAAAGCCAAACGTGCCCTGGGCTGCATCAAGAGCAGTGTGGCCAGCGGGTCGAGGGAGGGGGGTCTCCCCCTCTACTCCATTCTCGTGAGACCCAACCTGGAGTGCTGTGTCCAGCTCTGGGGCCCCCAACCTAAGAAGGACATGGACCTGTTGGAGCAGGTCCAAAGGAGACCATGAAGATTATCAGAGGGATGGAGCACCTCTCCTATAGAGAAAGGTTGAGGGAGTTGTGGTTGTTCAGCCTAGAGAAGAGAAGCTCTGAGGAGACCTTATTGTGGCCTTTCAGTACTTATAGGGGGCATAGAAAGACAGAGAAAGGCTTTTTTTCCAAGGCCTGTAGTGACAGGACAAGAGGCGACAGTTTTAAACCGAAAGAGGGTAGATTTAGATTAGATACAAGGAAGAAATTTTTTACAACGAGGGTGGTGAGACACTGGAGCAGGTTTCCCAGAGAAACTGTGGCTGCCCCATCCCTGGGAGTGTTCAAGGCCAGGTTGGACGGGGCTTTGAGCAACCTGGTCTAGTGGAAGATGTTACAGTCCATGGCAGGGGGTTGAGCTAGATGATCTCTGAAAGTCCCAACCCAAGCCATTCTGTGATTCTGCTCTTGAAGTGATCCACCAGAATTATTGGGCATTTTGGCCCTCAAAAAAAACCCCCGAGCCTCACAAATCTCTGCCCTCAAGATACCGTCACATTTTAAGGATGTGCGTTCTTACCCGTGTTGCTGTCTGTCTCCCCAGGCACTGCCCAACTTTGCCCTGAAGGGCAGTGACCCCCCCGCAGCACTGGTCCCCCTCGGATGCTCTCCAGGCCACAGAGCAGCGTTCCACCCCAGCTCTCACAAGAGGCAGGAACTGGGCTGGAAATGCGCTTCGGCGACGACCACACCAGTGCTTGCTTTGTTGCATACTAATGAGCACTAATTGGCCTCGGCTTGCTAACAATGTTGCATGGGAGCTGTTTGCAGAATAGGGGGGTGGGGGCTGGGGAGACCTTAAGGGGCTCTTGCCCTCCACCAAGGGGTGGCTTCCAGGGTGCTGGAGGCTGAACTGGTGCTCCTTGTGGAAACATCTCCATTTGTGAGCCACGGGAGGGCCGTGCCTGCTCGTAGTGGTCCGCCTGGCAAGTGGTCCCCCCCCACCTCTGACATGGCAGGAGGTTACAGGGAGTTACAGGGAGACCCCTTGTCCTTAAACACACCTGGGGGCATGGGGAGGAGTTGAGCCTTTTGGGAACCTGGGCAGCGCTCACCTGCAGGTCGTCTTGGTGGCAAAAGTTCAGTGCCCCTCTCCTCCCCCCATCCCTGGGCACTGCACACAGCCCCTCCACGCGTGTTCTCATTTACCGGTGTTACCCCTGAACTGTTCACCTGGAGCCTGTCTCCCCTTCTCCACGGCCCTTCTACCGTAAAATCGTAAGTCTGGCTAATAGGTGATGTTGTGTTTGCCGGGTGTGGCAAGCTGGTCTCCCACTGGGGGCAGCCCTGGGCGGTCTGGACCCACAGAACGTCAGGGCTTCTGCCAGTGGGGGAGTTGCGGTTGTTGCTTCAGAGGTGGTTCTGCTAATTTTGGACAAGTGGCCCGCTGACCCTGATGTTTTCGTGCTGGGACTTGCGACTTCTCTAAAGCTGAAAATCAGTTTACAGCAGCGTTAGAATCCTGGTTATCCCCCTTGAGTTTCAGACCAGGTCCTGGTGACTACGCTTCGTTTTATTTTACACTTTCTTTGCTCGTGTAATGACAAGAGTTTTTCCAAAAAAATTACCTGTGAAGAGAGGGCATCAGAGTGTCGGGAGTAGCGGCAGGGAAGGATGGAGCACCAGCCACGTGTGGGGGGGTGATCGGCTGGGGAGCAGTGCTGAGGAGCACAGTATAGATAATTTTTTTCCTTCCACCTGTCGTTAGGAGCAAATAGGGAGTGAGCTATTGCGCTTCCTCCCCAACTGCTAACGACGGGAGACTTGCTTACGGTCGTGCGCTGGAAGCTAATTAAAACCGGTGACAATGGTAATTGAGTAAGGATGCTTGAGGATAAGTATGACCTCATGTCTAAAATGGTAATGAGGCCTATTAAAATCCCCACCAAAAAGAGAAATGAAAGAGGGAACAGAGGCAAAGGTGGTGCGAGGGGAGCGGGAGCAGGCGGGGACAATACCTGGCAGCCAGAGCGCCAGAGGGATGGGGAGCACAGAGGTGCCAGGCTTTTACATCTCCTTAATAAACAGCCCTCTTCTTTGCTAGCCCGGCTGCTGCTCTGGCCAAGTCAGCCAAAACACTTTGGTACGTGTGTAATTCAAGTGCCTTCCTCCCCTGTGCGCCCAGGCCTGGGAGTTAGTCCCATTAAGTGATGGCAACACTTGTTGCTGTTTGTTGTTGTCTTCACTTGCTGGTTCTTTGCTGGAAGAGAGGAACGCGCCAGGAAACAGGCAGCTGCTGCTGGCATGGGGAGGGGGCCTGCAGAGATTGACCCTGCAATTGCAATGGTGCAGGAAAAAGCAATGGCAGAGGAGAGCTGCGGAGAGCTTGGGGTGCCCTGCTCCAGCTCAGACCGGCCCGGCACCTGATTTCGGCTCGGCAGCTGGGGCGTAGGGGCCGGGGGCTGCCGTGACCCAGCGTGTGTTGGTTTGCAGGGTGGCGTAGGAGGGCTCGGGATGCCGCCGTGCTCCGCGGGAGCCCGCACCCCGTGCTGACTCGCCTGGCTGCAGAGGACACGCCGGGAGGTTGAGCGCTCCCCGTCCTGGCTCTGGATGTGCACCGCGTCAGTTTGGGTAAGCTCGGCCCCGGGGCTGCTGGGCCCCTTCCCTGCACCCTGCTGACGGCGGGGGGAGGTACGGTGTATGCCAAAGGCGGCTTCTCCCTGGAGAAAGCTGACCTGCGTCCTCCTGGCAGGGGCGAAGGTACGGCTGGATGACGGCTGAGGATGTGCTATGGAGCCGCGATTCAACTGCTCTGAGCTCTGCGATGGCAGCTCCAGTTTTGGCAGCCAAGAGCAGCAGCAGCGGGCACTGCAGGAGCTCTGCACCGTCACAGTGGTACGTACGGAGGTGGGGGGGAGCACCCTGGGGCATGAGGTTTGCTCCGCAGGAGGGGATTTGGGTGGAGGAATGGAGAAGGGGGGATACAGAGGCGCAGCCGCCAAGCAATCCCAGTCCAGCCGGAGGCTGCACGCTGTCACCTCCTGGGATGACCTTCAAGGTGAGCCCTGCCTAGATGACACCCAGCAGTTAGGCAGAAGGTGTGGAAGCAGCCATGAGAGCCAAACTGTGTCAAGCAGCCCTCCTGTGTGTCAGCCAGCATGACAACTGCTTAGGAGTCGCCTGGGATGGCCTCCTCTGCCATTGACCTTTCTCATCCCCTGGAACATCAAAGTGCTTTTCAAATATGAATAGAGCAGGATTTAATTAAAAGTCATAATCTCCAATAAATGGTACCTCTCTCCCCACCATTAAGGCAGTAGAAGTGACACTGGGGTGCACTTAGTTGCAGTTGGCTTTGCCTAAAGCTGCTGGATGGACCAGTGGGGCTTGGCCTCTCCACCACGTCCTGCACGACCACGAGCCTTTAATTAGAAGACCGTAAGCTGCTTGGTTCCTCTGGCTCTGGCAGCTGCCTTACAATTAATATTCTCCCTGCTAGGGCCAAGATTTACTCTGCTCAGTGGCAAACAAAGCACTCCATCAACTTCAAGTAGCACCAACATCCAGGGAAACAACAGTCGGGATGGGGGGGGGGAATGTGTGTTGGAAAAGGGAAGGTGGAGACCACAGGGGTGTTTCTGATCCCTGGGTAGTTGCTGGGAAGAGTGTGCAGTAACGCTTTCAGAAGCAGCCAGAGGTGGAAAGATACTGCTGGTGGATGCAGCTCGGAGTGAAGTGTGGGAGCCCCAGGATGCTGAGTTCGCCCTGCTCACCTTACTGGCAAAAGTCATGTGTTACCCTCGGGCTCAGCCAGGTGGGACACAGAAATAGGATGGCGTTATGGCCTCGTACTGGCCCTGAGCAGCCCTGTCAGCCCCTCTGAGCTCCAGGCAGGTGGGAAGATGGCCCTGATTGACGCCAAAGGATGGGGGTTTTTGCACGGTGAGCCCTGGTGTAAGGGGGTGGACTGACCTGGCTGACCACCTCCACCATCTGGTGTGGTCTTCATTTCCCAGAGAGCCAAAAGATCCCCCAGGGGATGGGGAGAGGGAAGAGAGGAGGTGGGGAGCAGTTTGCAGGAAAGAGATGGATATCTCCCCAGGGATCCCTCCACACTGCTGCACGGTGGAGCTGAGCTGTGCCTGCAGCTGTATCCCAGCCTAAATGCAGCAGCAGCAGCAGCTCGGGCTCTCAGCTGGCTGTCTCTCCCAGCCAGGGGTTTGCCTTAGCCAGCAGCCCTGCCACCAGTGTGGCACCAGCTTGCGACCTGCCTGGAGCCCGCGGATCAGCCGTGCTTGCGTGACAGTGCCACGTTTTTGTATTAAGAATTACGTGTTGGTTTTAATTCTCCAAGCTGGGCTTTGTTCTTGCTTGCCCAGAGGAGATGGAGCCCAGCTGAGGAAGAGGGAGACGAGGCGTTGGTTCGAAACAACTGCCTTCTCCCTGCAGTTTCATTTCTAGCAAGGCTGGAAAGAGAAACGGCTCAGACCTTGCAGAAAGAATTGGGAGTTTGGGGCCGTGGCAGCTGTTGGGAAAATAGTCTTCCGCTATAGAAATTGCATGCAGGTGAAACTGGAATACCTGAGAAAGGACTGAGCATGAGAGACAATTGTGAGAAGGTGTGTAATCCCAGCTCAGTTCCCATCCTCCACTTTCCACTTAAAGGGGATGCACCAGCAGTTAAGTAATGCTTTCTTTAAAAGGAAAAGATGTCAGTAACATGCACACATAGCATGTGTGAATGAACTCACACATGCACACCATGAAAAATGCTAGAGTATTGTAGATCCACAGCAGAAACAGGTTTCTTGTTTCACATAGGATCGTTTTATCCATCCTATGTTAATAGGGAGAGAGCAGGGAATATTTTTAAATGGAGATTTAAAACCATAAGCTTGCTTGTGTGCAAGGAGATCATACCTGCTTTGGGAGTGTCCCTCAAAAGCCAGTTCTCAGCTGATGTCTACTCTGCCTAGGACCAACTTAGTTTCCAGCCAGCTGGGAGGCAGGCGGAGCCCAGCTCAGTGTGTCACTGCATAACGCATCTGAAAAACGCTGTCCCACTACCTTTTCTATGTTTTCTGCACCGACTGGCAGCTCTGTTGGTGGCTCCCAGTCATGTCAGCCGGCTGGTTGGTTATCTGCTGCACGTAGAGGTGGGGGGTGGGAGCCAAGGATGCCCTACCCAACTTTCCAAAGAAGCGTGCTGCAAACTGGGATACCACGAGGTCTTTCTCCAGAGGTTTCTTTCCAGAGGCCAATGGGGAACCATTGCCAATTTTTCCCTCTCCCACAGCCAGGGCTGCCTGAGGTTTATGAGTCACTTGTATGGCTTCATTACCTATTTGGCTAGTTGGCCATAAGAAGAGGGCTCCTGGACCGCCTTCTCCTCCTGTGCACTCAGCAAGTGGCAGAGTACGTGTCCTGTCTACACACATCTCATCAGCCCTGCCTGAGGGTCTTGGTCTGGTGCTGGGGTGTCTGCTCATGAGGAGGGGTTTGGGAGATGCTGTTTCTGGCTGAGCCGGAGCACCCATGGGAGCAGTCATGCCAGAGTAGGGACTTCCTTTGCTGGGAGCCCCAGCAAAGTCCTCTTCCTCCTCACCCCTTTTGCCTCCCGCAGACATCTTCTGACCGCAGTGGGAAGAGCTCCCCATCCTTCTCTGCTGCTCTTCTGGGAGTTGTGTGGACGTTCCTGACTGGAGGAGTCCTGCTAGCGCTCTTCTTTCTTGTCTTCACAATTCGCTTCAGGAAGAACAGGTAAGGTCTTCCCTCTTCTGCCGTGAGAGTTCCCCTGAGCTGGAGCAGTGGGATCGGGCTCCTTCAGGACCAGGCTCTAAGCTGGTGGCCTGCTAAGGGTCAGGAGGGTACAAGTCTGAAGGAGCAGCACGGGGCAAGGAAGGGCAATGCCAGGGATATTGCAGTTTTCTCCATCACACCCAGTGTTGATCACTGGTGGAGGCAGTCCTGCTTGGACTGCTTCCTTCTTCCCCAAGGCAGGGAGTTGTGGACAAGACAGAGCATGGATGCCCTCCGGCGTGGCACAGGCAGCAGTACGTAGTCTCATCCCGAAGGTGCTGTTCAATAAAACCATCAACAGGAGCGAGCAGAAAGAGAGCTGGTCTCCTCCTCCACTCCACAGTCTCGAGAGCATCGCTTTGAGCAGCATAGCTCTGTGAGCAAAGCCATCATGCTCCCCACAGTGCGCACGTATCCTTCCTGCTGCTGGGCCACTTGGGGTTTGAAGATACTGCTGACGTTTTTTGATCTTGGTGGTTGTCCATGTTGGTGCAAAACATGATCTCCATTGGTGAGAGAAGCTGGTGGTGAAGTGCAGGCTTTCCTTGGTGCTGTTCAGTCTGCGCAAAGATTGTAAAAAGTCCTGCTCCCCCGAATGCAGCACAAATCAAGCAGAAGGCTCAGCAATTCCTCGTAGCTGAAGCACTCTCAGGCAGCGCTTAGCCTTCCTCAGCAGTTCTGGATGTCTCACCTGCCTCCTTGCCACCACCTTCTCCTCAGTTTCACTGGTCCCTTCGTGTCTCAACTGCTTGTCCCCCACCGAGATACATCCCTCTCCCAAGCTTCATCTGGCAAAGCCTTTTTTGCTCCATTTTTTGTACCAAGACATGCATCTGTGTGCAGCCTGGGCTGCTGCTGTTTCAGTGCTCTGGTTGCATTAAGGAACTTAACGCTTCTTATAACCGTGGTGCAGCCAGGGGTGTCCTGCTCATAAGGGTTTATCTTGAGCCCCGTGCCCGCTGCGGTGCAGCAGTGGCATGACCTGCATCCTGGTCTCAAGCACTTGATTTACTGAAGCAGAGTGGTCTTGAGTGAGCTGGCCACCTTAATTGATTACCAAATTATTCAGGCCCCTGAAGACACTCTCAGAGCGAGCTGTAATGAATGTGCGTTATTTATTTGCACTGCAGCAAAAAAATATTGGTCTGCCTACTGAACCTGGGAGGGCAAAGGAGACCTTTTTCAGCATGCAGCTGAGAGGGTGAGCTGATGAATATCTTTCCCCAGGGGGCTGAGGCATGGCAAGGAAGGCAGGGAAGGAGAGAGCCAGTTTGAATCCCAGGCTTTGTGTCTGCGAGGCAGCAAGCCAGGAAGGAGCTCAAGGGTAGAGAAATGCAAGGACTTAGCAGCAGATTGAAGGGACGGAGCTTTTCGGGGTGGGGAGTGCAGTGGCAGGAGCTACAGCTTTCGCTTGATTTGCTTGCTGGAGAAGGGTGACAGGTCGGGAGAGATCGGTGGGTCGATTCTCCCCTCCCTGAATACAGTTACAGAATTATGAGTGATGGGGTGAAATTACAGAGGGGAAGCTGTAACCTGAACGTTGCTGGCAGCTTCCTGAAGTTGAGACTGTGCCGAGGGTGGAGGTATCTCCTCAAGGGAAGGAGCAGCAGGAAGAGCCTGTTCCTGGAGGCATTTGTAGCTGCTGTACCCAAAGCTTACTGCCGGGGAGGGTCGCCCCGGCCGCTTTGGTGAGGTTTTCCACTTCAGCCCCTTTACAGCAGAGGACAGTGGATGAAGAAGTTGGCCTTGAGCGTGGGGGGCTGAGCTGGGCGCTGTGCTGTGTGCCACCCGCGTGACCGTGGGGCATTGCTTCCCCTGGCTGCGTCCCGCTGCGGGGGCGCGTGGCCACAGCGCGTGCTGGCAGCGCTGCGCAGCTCTGCGTGACTGGCACGGGCACTGGTAGCAGAGAGACCCCGCTGTGGTGACTTTGCTCCTAAAAGCCCATGGCTTTCCACAGCGTTGTCTATAAAGATGCTGGCTCAGGGATGCTTCTCCGTGCCGCAGATCCCTGCGGGGAGCAGAGGTGCCATGGGGCAAACCCGGTACCCATCTGTTTGGGGGAGAAGGGATCTTGCTGTCCCACAGGAGTGTCGGGGTAGGGCAAAACAAGTACTTCAAGGATAGTGAAGCACTCCAGCAACACAGGGGAGAGGATGGAGTATGCAGCATGGAACAATGCTTTTGGAGGAGCTGTGAACAGCAGGGGCTTGGGAGGGGGGACAGCGTGTCAGCATCCCTTGTGGCCATCATCATATCTGTAAGGGGGCCTTGCCCCCGTGCTGCCAGGTCATGATGCTCAGTAACTGTCACCGCCTTCCCTGCTTTGTTTCCTGGAGGATTGTGAAGATGTCCAGCCCCAATCTGAACATTGTGACCCTGCTGGGCAGTGGCTTGACTTACACTAGTGCTTACCTCTTTGGGATTCAGGAGCAGAGCCTGCCGTCTGGAGACTCGGTGGAAAAGCTTATCCAGGTGAGCGGCGGGTTTGCTGGGATGTGTGCATGTACATGCATGTTTGTACACGCTCTATCTTAGCTGCAGGCTGTCACCACCTCGCTGCTGGGTGCATTCGGCCAGGCTGTGGTTTCCACACGCAGAAAATGCAACCAGATGCCTTCCAGCTGAACAGCTTTTGCTGTTTGTGCAAACCGCAGCCGCGCTGGGGGCGGGGTGGGGGGGTGGGGGGGACGCGAGGCAGGACCCCAGGGGAATTGGGCAGTGCCCATGGCAGCTGCCCCACGGGCAGGCAGGCTGCTGGGCTTGTAAAAGCGCAACGGGGAGAGGGGAGCCTGAAGGGAGGTGGGTCCCTCTGCACAGCTGCCGCCCGACGTGGTGAAGGTGCTGTGAGGCTGCAGGCGAGTTTTTTGGCTGCCAAGCAGATCTTCATCAAAATGTTGACCTGTGCGATGAATCCCCGTGTCCTGACCTGGGGCAGCCACCCTGCCAGACCCGGGACTGGGAATGCACCTGGGTGGGTGAGTGGGAGGGAGCACACCCTGCTGTCCTGCTCAGCTGCTGGGCTGCAGATAATTAATGGAGGTGTCAGCAAGTGATTTATTGGTGCTGGGAACCTCCATGACCCTGCTCCTCCTCCAGGAGCCTCTCAGGGCGGGGGGGTAAAAGACAGGCAGCAGGCATGCCTTCCGTGGAACTCGCACCTTTTAATTTATTTCACCCTATGGTCAGCTTTCTAGTATCCCATATGACCCTCCAGAAGCCATAGACACATCCCCACCCATCTTTCTTGCATCCCTGGGTGGGAGGGTGCGGGGTGTCCCTGCGAGCCCCACGGCTGCCCTTTCAGGCCCCTGGCTCTGTCCCCGTCCCCCCCCACCCCCCCGCAGGTGCGTCTCTGCTTGCTGTGCGTAGGGACATCCCTGGTGTTTGGCCCCATCCTGGGGAAGAGCTGGCGGCTCTACAAGGTGTTCACCCAGCGGGTGCCGGACAAGCGGGTGGTGAGTACACAGCCCCCGGGCGGGGGCCAACTCCCCAAGGGGGGGTGAACACCAGCAAGTCCCAAACCGGTGCGGGATAGCAGATAAAACCAGCACGTGACAGGGGTGGGTGCCACAATCGTAGGTCTAGTTTCACACCTAGCTGAGCGTGGGCTCCTTGTTTATTCCTGCCCAATGAGGCAGGAGCTTTTCCGCTCTACAGGCAAGCGGGTGCCCTGCCAGGCTGCCTGTTCCCCAGCGGAGTCCCAGCCCCGTCACCGAGCGAGGTCTTGTTCTCATTTTACATCAGCCACGTGCCTTCATTACACTACACACTGCTGTTTGTGTCCAGGTCTGGGCTGATTGTTTTTTTTGCAGGATGAAAATAAACCAGGTGTCCCCAAGGGTGTCCGATGTAGGGCCATCCCCAGATGTTTCTTATCTCCTCTTCAAGGGAGGGAGGAAGCACTGGGGTACTCCTCTGCAGCACTGAAGGAAGGGAATACAGCAGCTGGGAGGGAAATGGGAGCCGCCTGTATAAATTTGTACCTGTAACAGTGCACTTGCAGCTTTCGGTGGCCACTTTCCAACAGTGAAAAAAGTAGGTCTCAGATGAAAGGTGAGACGAGAGGGTTTGCAGGGGAAATGGGTACCAGCAAGGACTCCCATTCCTGAGGCACGGGGTTCTGTATTAAACTTGCAAAATGATAATCCTACCAGCTTTTTTTCCCCCACCCTTTTTGTCTCTTCTTGTGATACGGGCATAAGGGATGATACTCTTGCTTTGGAAGAGCTCTTACTGTCACAGCATTTACCAGCTAGCCACACCGTTGGGAAGGGTTTATACCTGGCCCCAAACTTAATTAGGTGCCCAAGAGTTTGGGAGCTGCAGACAGAGATCCTGTGGCCAGCTTGGATGTAGGTGAGCTGCTGGAGTCCACTCTGGGGGAAGTCTTAGGATGGACATGTCCCTTGGAAGAAACAGCCAGAAGGAGACCCCAGAAGATGGAAGTTACTGGTGTCCGTTTGGCCCCCCCCATGGTAACACTTACTTCTTCTGTGTTTGCAGATTATCAAAGACCTCCAGTTGCTGGCCATGGTGGCAGCGTTGGTGCTGGCAGATGCCATGTTGCTCTTGACATGGGTATTTTCTGATCCAGTCCAGTGCTTCCGAAGCCTCAGCGTCTCACTGCGGGTAAAGGGATGAGAAAGGGGTGGTGGAGGGTTGCGCCGTGTTCTGTCTGATCTCTGTGGACAAAGTTGGTGGGTGGTCAGGCGTTTGGAGGCGCCGCTTAAAAAAAAAATAGAAATAAAAAGAAGCTAGAAAGCTTTCTGGGCTCTCTGGGTTGGGTTTATGTCTCGTCTACTACAGAGGGTCCACTGCAAAATTTCCAGGTCTGTGCAGGTCACCTGGGTGACACAGGAGAGGGCCATGGCATCTGCATATGCTTTAGAGAAAGGTTTAACCAGCCCTGTTAGCAGCAGAGTGCCAAAATCTTCCTCGCTTTAACCCTCTGCCTTTGGCAGCACCAGCTTTGGCCTTTTCTTTGGGGAATTTACAGAGGAGCCCTGCTTAGATGTGTACCCCATCGGTGTGTGCCTGCTCCCAGGCCAGGGCAGCAGCCTTCACTTCTGCCTTCCCCTTGCCTCCTAGGCGACAGAGAAAGGCATGACCTGCTCAGTGAGCCGGGTGCAGTCCTGCGCATCTCTTTATTCCGATCTCTGGCTTGTTCTCATTTTAGGGTTTAAGGTACGTAACCTCTTTATTGATTCTTGCATTGTATTTCACGTCCTCCAAGTCTCACAACCTGAACTGTTTAGCAGCATTCGTAGCTTTGCTGTCCTCCCAAGCTACATGCCTATTGCAGATTCTGGCTACTCCTTTTCATCTTGAAAGCCCTCCCAAATCCCTTCCTTCCCATCTTGACGTTCCCTTGTAAAAGCCCCGTTAGCCACTTTTTCCTCGCCTCGCCATCTCTTTTACATAACCATGCATATACTGCCTCTCTAGTTCTCTCCTTGCAACTCCCCCCGCCCCGCCTCATCTATCTCCCCTCTTAAAACTTGTGTCTTACTGTTTTCTAAAGCACACTTTTTCCATAAAGCCTCAGATGACCATCCACCTCAGTGATGCACTATGTGGCTCAGCCCCTGAGTCCTCTGACTCCAAATCAAGGAGGTGCTGATGACAAGTGCTTGGTGCCTACCTCTGCAGGATGTGTATCAGCTTAATTATACCACTGAGGTACACTTTCACTGGTTGTAGCTTTGCACGTGGCCGTTCTTATTCCAGAAGAGTTAGTTATACTGATGTAACTATGTAGGTATAATTATCGCTGTAATTATCTGTGGTCTCATGTGTCTCTGGGTTGGCAGAGGCTGGACACATTTCAGAAAGCTGATGTTGATGAAGCTTGTGAGATCACAGCCTTTCTTTGGGAATGGCTTCATCTCCTCATGCAGTACAGGCAGTTCATTTCTGACTCACTGTGATATAATACTCATTGACCATCTACCCAGAGTTGTAGGAAATAGAGCAGAGAGAGACCTCACGACACAGCCAAGTCCTTCTCCCCCCAGCACTTCACTTTAAAGACATTAGTCTGGCCTGTCCTTAAAAGTCCTTTGATGCTAGGGATTGCAGGCATTCCCTGGGCTTCCAGTGCTGTGTCTCCAGCTCTGATTTTGTCTGCAGCTTGCATCAGAGTTTAGACAGGTAGTGCTTTTGCCCACAGTTCCTACAAACTGCTTTTTGGAATAAAACATCCCCATTACCAGTCCCAGGTACTTTTCATTAGTATTGTGTTGAACCTGACCATAATCCTATCTACCTACATGGGCGGTCATGGAGTTATGTCTTTAGTGGTTTCTCTGGACTTAATCTGGATTTACACTAACGTGAGAGTAAGCTCTATCTCTGCATGTACGTAGCATTTCTTATCTTCCACGGCATTAATGTGCTCAGCCCTTTGTGAAGCCGCTCAGTGTATTATCCTGCTTTTACTGGCACAGAGCAATGAACAGTAATGATTTGCCGAGGACATGCCTGGAATTAGGACCAAAGTCCTCTGCTCAAGATTAAAACAAACAAACAAACAAACAAACAAAGTCCTAGTTTACTAGATGGAAGTGCTGCTGTCTGTGTCCCAGATAGACTGTATGAATTTTGAATGGGACTTTGGTGCTGTTTTTTTTTCTTCTTGCTCAGGGATTAGGAGTTGGCTTGCGTTTGGGCCATGTATTTGGAGGTGCTCCAGGGTGAACATGGTTATGATCCAGTGCAGATCATACAGAGCAGGGTCAGGCATCAGCCTAGTTCCCAGCGAGGCCGGTCTCACTATTACAACCCCCGCCTTGAGAACTGATGGTGCTCTGAAGTCGGGAGTCTCACCAAAGACCATGAATGTGAACCTTTCTTGCCGTCCAGACCCTAACCCTGGCAGTGGCCATCGTAGTCATCAAGCAGCCACAGCGCAGAGGGGTCCAGAAGGGTCTGCAGAACATCTGCACCACAGGTCACAAAGCGCTTCTTGATGCCCAAATAACCATTTCATGTCTCTTACTACGAGGCTGACGTTTGCACTTACTGGGTAGCACAGGACTCGTGTAGGAGTCATGTCCCCTGTATTCGGGGTCCTTGCAGGAGCAGGGATTTTGTCAGCTGGTATTTTCAAATGATCCTGAAGGCACACCATGCCGTGCACTACAGAGGCAGGCAAAAAATACTCAGTGTTTCCTGCCAGTGTGCCTTGGGGAAGGAGGGATTGAGCCTGCTGGGTGGTTTAATCCTGAGAACACTGGAAAAATGCACGCATGGGAAACTTGAAGGGCAGCACAGGGAGGAAACCTGCTCTGAAACAACCAACCTGCTCCTGGGGAGGGAGGGTCTCTGTGTACAGAGCACTTCAATAGCTCCTTTCACCACTGCTAGAGCCAGGCGGGGAACGGCGAAGGGAAGGGAGAATTGCACCCAGTAGTTTCCTGGATTTCTATTTAAAGAGGCACCAAGTACATCCTCTTCCCTCTGCTTCTTCTGCCTCGCATTTTCCTTCTGAATGTCCTTTTGAATCTCCTTCCTGCTCCTTCAGAGGTATGTCATTGCTCCTTGATGGCACCCCACCTCTGCATCCCCACAGGGACCCCCATCTCTTGTCTGTCCACCTTTGCTGCTCCTGCTCCAGGCTGCCCAAGAGGAGGTTTTCGCGTCTTGCCTCTCCCGGCCATCTCCTGCTCTCTGGCATTGCCTGCCTAGCTGACCCTCAGCTCCTCACCCCCCTCAGTTGGGACCCCCAAGTGCCTGCCAGCTCCTTTGCTCCTGCCCTCCCTCCCCAGCTCCGCTTCTGACCTGCAGCAGCGTGCCAGGCGTTTGCTGCGGCGTCACCACCGCGTGCCGAAGGTCTGCATTATAGATCAAAGAGCATTAATTAGGATTGTGCTGAGTGTATCTGAGCTCACCGGGCTCGGTATGAGGTGGGGGTTGACACCATCAGGCTGTAATTTTCCACACTCTGGAAACCTCTTTTTTCTGCTTCCAGAGTATCCTGCTGCTGTACGGGACCTACTTGGCCGGTCTGACCGACAACATCAGCTCCCCGCCAGTCAACCAGTCCTTGACGCTCATTGTCGGGGTCAACCTTGTCTTCCTGGCTGCCGGCACTGTCTGCTTAGTTCACCGTTTCTTCCGCACTTGGCACAACTTACTGTTTGGTTTTACCTCTGGAGGCATCTTTGTGTGTACAACCACGATCAACTGCTTCATCTTTGTCCCACAGGTACGCTGCCACCTCTGCCCCGCCACCTGGCTGGAAATGGGCGCGTTTTCGGAGTTTAACAACAGCAGCTGTGTGGGCCAAAGCACTTCTTTTCCTGCTTCTTTCCCCAAATGTTCGGGCTCACCTGCGCAGCTCATCCTCCAAGCCCGCGGTGGCTCTGCTTCCCCACGCAAGTCCCCTGAGACTCCGAGGAGTGCAGGCACGTTGCAGAGATGCTGCTCAGAAACCCTCCTGCAAGAGCGTGCCACGGGTGGCAGCCACGCTGGAGGGGCACGTGTGGAGGCGAAGCAGCTGCTGCCCTCCTCCTCCTCCGCGCGGGTGGTGGGATCAGTCCTTTGTGCAGTTGTCCTCTCTGCACACCCCCGCGCACCCACTCCCACCGAGGGTTTCTGCCCGTGGCAGGGATGGAGCCGCGCTTTGTCCTTCCAGACGGCCTCGCCAGGCTCAGAGGCTTCCTGGCTGCTGCTGGTCCCCAGGGGAGGCTGTCCTCCTCTGCGTTTTTGGAGAAGGAATCTGGGCTTTGCCACAAGTGAGGAGAAGGAGGATGTGGAGATGTTTGAAGGAAGCCTTTTGTGGCCAGGCAAGGATCTTCTGCTTCCTGTGTCTTCTTCCAGGAGCAGCCTGGTGTGCCGGGCCGTGATGTTAGTGGGAAAAATGCTCCCATTGTTACAGGGAGAGGAAACAGTTGTTTACTCAGTTTAATGTTTGTAGGGATGTTTGGGCTCAAGGAAATGAGGTGAGAAAGGGAGGAAGAGGTGAAGCTCAAGAAAGGGCACATCTGTGCAAGAGAGGACTCGGGGGATCTCACCAATGTGTATAAATACTAATGGGGGTGGAGTAGGGAAGGGGCAGCCAGGCTCTTCTCAGGGGTGTCCAGGGGACAATGGGCACAAACTGAAACACAGGAAGTTCTATTTAAACATCAGAAAAAGCAGATTTTTTTCTGTGAAAGTTGTAAAGCGCTGGAGCAGGTTGCCCAGAGAGGTGGTGGAATCTCCATCCTTGGAGATATTCAAGACCCCGGATGGACACAGTCCTGGGCAGCCTGCTCCAGCTGATCTTGCTTGAGCAGGGTGGGTTGGACTAGATGATTTCCAGAGGTCAACTGAGCTCCTACCTCAATTGATGCAGCGTAACTGCAGAATCCTAACCCACTAGATGAGCAGCCCTTGGGAGCAGGATCCAAACCTCCTCTGACAAGCAGCAAGCCTGCTGGCGATGCTCTGCTGAGCGCAAGGGCTCTCGGAGTGAGGGCGGGAGAGGTGATGAGCTGTACTTGCACTCTGCCTGTACCATTTTTCTGCAGCAGCCTGGGGGCCTTGATCGTTTTATTTAACTTGGATCTTTTAATTCATCAACTTGTTTTTCCTAATGGGCTTGCTCTTCTATTGCTCATCCGAGATCGATAAGCAGCTGGAGCTGGGCTGCGGAAGGCTTCCACGCTAGATGAGAAACCGGATGCTAAGCGTTGCTGGTTTTCAGCTTGTCATCAGTGATTTGGGGATAAGGAGGCGTGCGTGACACTGTCTTTGTCTGTCACGGAGTCAGGGAGGGGGGAGCAAAGAAGGAGGAGGGGAGGGGGCTTTCACAGCATGCTCAGAGGTTGCAGCACAGGCAGGCACTGGCCCTCTCTGCGTTAAAAGCTGGAGGCAGGGACAGGGTAGGGCTCAGATGGGTGGGAGGCTCCAAGTGACACTGCAGCCCCTCGCCTAGCCGTCACACCCTGCCTTTGTCTCCCCCTCTCCATCCCTTTGTCTCCTTCGCGCTCGCTCGAGCTGCGCCTGCCTCCCACCACGGTCGGTCGGCAGGGGCTGTGAGTGTCGCGTGGATAACGCCCTCTTCTCCTCCCCAGCTCAAGCAGTGGAAAGCCTTTGAAGAAGAAAGCCAAACCGTGAGCCACATGGCAAAATATTTCACCAGCCCGAACAGGAGCTGCCGCTCGGTGTACAGCGAGGAGCAGCTCTACCAGCTGATAGGGGAGAAAAACTCCATGAAGCGGCTGCTCACCGAGGTATGGGGCTCTGCTGGCCCCACTCAACCGCACCGGCTTCTCCCCTTCCTTTTCGTGGGCTGAAGGCTTTGCAGGGTGGGAAGCCCTTCTTTACGCCCTGGTCTGCACTGGTGCTCCCCCTCCAGCCTCTTCCCTCCTGAGGGGGAGAGCTGCTTTGTTTTGTCACATCACTCTGCACCACAAAGTGCCAAAATTCAGGCATAATTTGGAGGGTTTAAAAAAAAAAAAAAAACCACGTAGGGAGAATGTTGGGAGAGGCTGATTCCCATAGCCCAGTCTAACATGGTTAATTTAGAGGGAAGATGCTCCATCTCGGGAGAGCTCCCGGTCCCCTGCTCCCTCACCTGCAATGCATGGGTGGGAACACCCCGGCTCAAAGAGCTGCCTGCCCCAGTGCCCTCCTTCCCGCACCTGCATCTGGGGCGGCTCGGGGGGGGCTCCAGGGGAGGCTGAGGTCACACATGCTGCTGCTGTGCTGCCTCAGAGCACCTCTCCACTCAGAGAGGGGGGGGAAATTCATTTTCTGGCAGCATCTGCTTCCAAATTGGCGGCGTTTACATGCCCTCCACCCACCCCCTGCTTGACAGGCGTATTTGTCTGACGCAGAAAAACGCTGTGATCGAAAGCCTGCAGGAGCAAGTGAGCAGCGCCAAGGAGAAGCTGATGAGGCTGATGTCTGCGGAGAGCGGCTGCGACCCCCGTGTGCCGCCAGCAGCTCCCTGCACCCCGAGCTCGGGGCAGTGCGGGGATGCGCTGGGAGACCGCTGCCCCCCAGATCCGGAGCAGGATGGATGGCAGCCTCCCCGCTTGCTGGGTACACCGCCTCTTTGCAGCGATGCTCAGGACGTCGGGAAACATGGGAGCCACGAGCCTGTTTGCTCTCCGGTGCTGCTTTTGGACACAGGGGCTGGCATCGAACGTGGCCTGAAAGACGTGCGGGAGTGTGGAACGCCTGCGGGGCAGGGGCAGCCTCCGGAGCAGCTGCCGGGCCAGGACATCTCAGCCGGTGTGGCCTGGGAGTCGTCCCCCAAAGTCAGCTATGTGAGCAGCGAGAAGCTGCGGGAAATCTTGCAAGAGCTGAGCTGGGATGGCAAAACCTACAGCCTGGCTTTATCTGGGGGACCCCTGCGTGACAGCCAGGGTCCCCCAGGCGAGCAGGGAGGAACGTGGTGGGGCCAGGAGGGCTACCCAGGCATCCGCAAGCCCCTCAGCCCCTACTCGGCGAGGCGGCGGCGGAGGATCCCGCTGCCCCCCACCTCCACCCGCTTCCCCGGACACGTGTCCCCTCGTGCCAGCCGCAGGGTGAAGGAGGCCGGCGGCTGGGGCCGTGGGGAGTCAGCACATATCTCCCTGGGGAGGGAAGGGGAGATGGCTGGTGGAGGAGTCATTCACCCACCAGCACCATCCCCTCCGGCCATCCCCGGCGAGGTCTGCCTCCAGCCAGAGGGATGGCCAGGGTCCCAGGGCGCCTCGCCGTGCATCCCACGGGAGCAGCGCCAGCGGCGGGCAGGTGCCCCGAGGGGGCCCGCCGAGCCCTCCCTGCGCTCACTCTACTATTACCCGGACTCTGACTCCAGCAGCAGCAGCAGCTCTGAGGAGATGTTTCACGGCTGCCACCGGCCCTGCTGTGAGGTCTGCTTCCAGAGCCCGCACGGCTCCCTGGGCAGCAGCAGCACAGACACGGACACAGAGCCCAGCGGCTGCACGGGTCACCGGACAGAGCACCACGGCGGGCCCCAGCCCGTGGTGAATTTCAAAGACGACCTGAAACCCACCTTCGTGTGACTGAGGGCACCCCTGCTCCAAAGGCACAGTGCCCTACCGTCCCCAAAACACCGCGTGCTTTCAGTGATGCTAAAGCCACGCGTCCCTCCGAGGGATGCATCTCTCTCTGGCATCTGGGGGTCGGCAATAAACCTTGCCCTGCTTTGGGTTGCTGTTTCAGCCCCAGCCTGGCCAGCAGTGACTGTGTTTGGCTGAGAGGCGGTTGGGAGCACTCGGGGAGGGTGGCAGTGGTTTTCTCTCGGCGGCTCCAGGCAGCTGCCTGCACCCTGCGGGTACCACATCTTGTCTGTCCCGGTGTCAGCAGCGGAAAGACTGGGGCTGAGTGGCCCGTGAGAGCCCAAACATCATCATCTCAGGGAGGTCCCCCTGCAAGTGCTGGGTCATTGACACCAGCGAGCAGCACAGCATCTCGGAAACAAGCATGGCTTCTTGCACGCAGCAGACAGACAGACAGCCAGACAGCCTTCCCCCGAGGCTGCTGATGCCGAGCCTCCCACCAGCAGCCCACCCAGCTGGAGACTGGAGACAGCCGGACGCTGTGAGCAGTTGCAGGTTCCTGCTCGCCTGGGATGCTGCTCCCTGGCAAAGCAGGGGCCGTGGAGTGGGGCGTGGGTGGGACAGTTTGGGGGGGGTGGTGTTTTTTGGTAATGTCTGATTGAAAAAATGGAAGTCCAAAGGTGCCATCCCTGGAGGTGTCTTTGTGTTTTGTGTAGTTCATTTGTGTGGTTGTAGATGAGACTCAGGTCAGAGCTGAAGGGAAAGACAAGCTAGCAGCTGTAAGAGAGGACCTGAAAAGGTTTTTCTTTTTTTTTTTTTTTTTTTTTCACCTTGTTTTTCTGGGACTTGTGCCCTTCTGTATGTCTTTTATGAATGATGTAGTCTGGAATAAGGTCTTGTTTAAATTAATATGTTCTGTTTAATTTCTATCTTGGAAATATCAAGAACAGTAAATACAGTGTGCCTGCTTTTGTTGGGATATTTGTGAAGGCATTTCAGTGTATTGTTGCCTCCACAGAAGTTTGGGATGTTGAGACCTGATGCTTAGGGCATAAAAAACCCCTCTGGAGAAAGACTTTGTTAAAAGGGCGTGTGACAGGAATCCCAAACCCGGTTTTGAATGATATTCGTTAGCACTACCCTCTTGGTTATCCTTTATGATGGTAAAATCCTTCACTGCTGTGTCCTAACAATATCCTCATAGCCCCTCTTCATTCCTAAAATGAAAACACCCCAGATGGCGAGCCCAGTTTTCCTTTTGTCACCTTTAACTAACAGAAACCAGTTTCCTTCATTTTTTTGTTGTTGTGCTTTGGTTTTTGTTTTTTTTTTTTGTTTGTTTGGTTGGTTGGTTTTTTGTTTTGTTTTGGTTTTTTGTTTTGTTTTGTTTTGTTTTTTGTTGTTGTTTTGGTTTGGTTTGGTTTGGTTTGGTTTGGTTTGGTTTTTTTGTTGTTGTTTTTTTCTTTCAGATCTGCCCGAGCACTTGCAGCTCAGAGCTGCCTGTTATGTTAGGCTCTGGCCTGAGTGAAATGCATTGACTGGGTGTCTCCTACCGCTGTGGGGCAAATCTGCAGTGGGGTCCACAGACGGAGAAGCCCAGACAGAGTGCAAGTGTGGAAGGTCTCCTGCAGTCCCAGCAGCTCTCGCTGGCCTGGAGGGATGCTGAACAAGCCAGAGGTGGGTAGGAGCAGGGGGGTGGGGGTGTTAGAAAAGCATGTCGCTGCGTGCCCCTCTGCACTTTTTCGGGCACCCTCAAAAAGCAGGTTTTATCATTTGAATCCACCCTGTGCCACGCCGAATCCGCAGGCGGGTTGTGTAGAGCCGGAAAGCGCCGTACCGCCCGGTCCCGGGGGAGCAGGAGCACCCCGTGAGCGTGTCTTTATTTATAACCATCCGGGCAGCCGGTGTCTTTATTTATAACCATCATCTATTCCACGGGCCCGAGCGCGTCCGGCTTGGCGGCGTGCAATGCTGGGATGCGCTCCAGCTGGGATGCTGGTGGGGAGCCCCCCGGGCTGGGCTGGGCAGCCCCGGGCGGGGGTCCCTGGCTGGCCTCTCCCGGGGAGCCTCCTGGGGGGGGGGGGGGGTCGGGGGGGGCTCGGTGCCCGCCGCCTCCCGGCCCCGGGGGCTGGGGAAAAGCCGCCTGCAGTTTTGCAGCGCTCGCAGCAGGGGCTGCTGCTGCCACGTCGCGTGTGCTGGCAAACCTCAGGGGCCCCAAGCAAGAGCATCCCACGGCATCCCAACGCTGGGACAATGGGTGGGACAGGGAGGTGGCTGGGACGCTCTGGGGATCCTGTTCAACATGGGGCAAAGCCACTTGTCCAAACTGCGGCTGACTTCTCCCCACCGCCCTTCATGCTTAGAGTAGCACTTTGCTTTGGGGCTAGGAAATACTGCAGCACGGTCATAGGAAATGATCAACCATGAAGCCACCTGGAAGAAGCTGATCTAAAAATTAACTTAAAATCCACTAGCGAATGCAGAAAAGATCTCCAGAGGACTTTGAACTTCTGGTTTGTTTGGAAACTCATCGCTGGAATTTGGGGCAATTGCTTTTCTGTCTGGTGACCAGCAGCCATGAACTGAAAACTGCACGTCATGTGGAAGCACCTACTAAGGCCAACGGTTTGTTTCAGAAATAATGTGGCCAGCAGGACTTGGGAAGTGATTGTCCCCCTGCACTCAGCACTGGTGAGGCCACACCTCCAATACTGTGTTTAGATTTGGGCCCCTAAACAGAGACACTGAGATACTGGAGCGTGCCCAAAGAAGAGCAACGAAGCTGATGAAGGGTCAAGAGCACAAGTCTTATGAGGAGTGGCTGAGGGAAGTGGGGGGTTGTTTAGTCGGGAGAAAAGGAGGCTCAGGTGAGACCTTATCACTCTCTACAACTACCTGAAAGGAGGTTGTAGCGAGGTGGATGTAGGTCTCCTCCCAAGTAACAAGCCATAGAACAAGAGGAAATGGCCTCAAGTTGCACCAGAGGTTTATATTGGATATTAGGGAAAATTTCTTCACTGAAAGGGTTATCAAGCACTGGAACAGGCTGCCCAGGCAAGTGGTTGAGTCACCATCCCTAGAGGAAATTAAAAGACGTGTAGACGTGATGCTTAGGGACATGGTTTAGTGGTAGACTTGGCAGTGTTAGGTTAACAGTTGGGCATGATGACCTTAAAGGTCTTTTCTAATGTAAATGATTCTGATTCGACTTTCTACACACACACAGAGAAGGCTGATGCAGTTCATACATGCATGTGTGTGTGCACACATAAAAAACTCACTGGTGCTTTTGACGACTCCCAACTCTGGCCTCTCCCCGTATCTAGCAAGGAATATGCATTTGATTCAGATGGGGAAGAGTCAAAGCACTGTGTGATGGATCGGGCTGCCTGCACGAGAGAAGAAAGGACAGAGCAAGACATTGGGCTGCCTTTTATTGCCATTGGTGTTGCGGGATCTTTGCACTGGGCATTGCATGGGCACACAGAGGAGCCTTCCTGCTGCTCAGCTTTAGGCACCTGGCTTAGGCACTGAATTCAGCATTTGGTTTCCCCGCAGCTATTTGTACAGTCTTTGGGAGGAGCCTGTCTCTCTCCATTAAGCCATTCAAAGCATCTGAATTAGAGCTTTACCCCGAATCCAAGGTTTCTGAGCAGCTGTAAGAGCAGCAGCACATGTTCTGCCAAGGCAGAGAGGAAGACTCTGATGCCTGAGAAGAAGGCTTGTGGCAGCAGGATTGTGAGTGCCCTGATTTATAACTGGCTATAGCCAACTCTCTTTCTTGCCACTGATGACAGATACAGCCTAAAGAAAGCCAACTCTCACCCAAGGGGTCTGTAGTATCCATATGCCAGGTAAGCAATTCCTTCTCCAATGGATCTGCTGTCTAAATCTGTTCCCCTTAGGAAAGGCTGTGCCTCTTTGCAGTTCAGGACAGAAACTTTAATCTTACCGAAATCGAAATGAAAGGTAAGTGACTGGGAGGAGGTCCCCTGCCTGTTCCCAGATGAGTGCTGCACTCACTGTCCCTACAAATGTGCTCACGGTACTTCAGGGCACGTGAGAAACTCCTGCTACCCAGAAGCTACAGAGGAGCCCTTGGTGATCCTGCATAACTTAACCCCGCACCCTGTCCCCACCCAGGCAGTATCTGCCAGTGGAGAGGTTGCCTATTCCAATGACGCATGGGGCAGCCACAGCAGTTAATGCCGATGAGGTCCTTTGAATTTTTTTAGCTTCCTGAGCCGAGTTTCCAAGCCATCCTTCCCCTGCTGGCTGTGCACCTCCACAGACTTCAGCTCTGTGAATCCTGCTGCTGTCTGCAAATCACAGGAAGAGACAAGTCCACTTCACCCAGTGTCCCCGAGCCCTCCTATGCACAGAGCGATAGGAGATGCTCCACGGAGCGGAGCCTTTCCCTGCCCACAGGCCTGTTTACAGGTGCTGCTCTTCTGTTTAAAAACTCTGCGGCCTTCGCCCGCTCCCCCTGACCCCAGCAGTGCACCGACACCTCTATGCCCTTTCCTTGCTGACGGCTGTGTAGGAAGGGTCACGGCACAGCGGGTACGAGGTGTCCCTGTACGCCTGCTCGCTGGGCCTCGGCAGGAGCCGGGAAGGCAGGAAGCCTTGAGGTTGTTGTGCCGCAACCACCTGCCATCACTCAGCCTGCCTCTGTTACACCGTCAGCTTGCCACTGTTTAGGAAATACTAAAATTGATCTTGATTGTGATTCAGCTGCCTGGTTTAAAAAAAAAAAAAAAAGGAAAAAAAAAAAAAAACAAAACAAAAAAGACGTTTTGTTAGCTACGGCAGAGAGGGATTGAGCCAGGCTCTCTGGGAGGAGTGCTGACTATTGGCATGGAAGATTCCCCACCGCCTTGTGTTGGCATTAGCAGCTGGGATCTCTGGGGAACCACTCGCTCTGAGCTTTGATACCAGGGGCAGTTGTTAGAAATAATGGGTATTCGAAAGTACTGGAAGAAGGAAAACCTACAGGTGTCCTTGGCCCAGAGTCACCAGACTGTGTGACCCGTGAAGACGGTGGCTGTGCAGTGGTGCCACATCTGTACGCCTAGGTCACAGTAGGGAGCAGCAGTCAGGGCCGTAGGTCTCCAAGTAGCCTGTGCTGCAGGTTTTAAGGAGGTGAGAGAGCACCCTGATCTGTACATGATGTCCACGGGTCCACAAGAAGATCCAGAAAAGTCTTCCTCAAGTCCAGGAGCCACGAGGGCTGTGGAGAAGCACTCTCCTCCTGAGCAATGTGTGCATCAGTACCCCTCAGTGTTCACAGTGAGGTTTCTTGCTTTCATGCCCATGCCATACCTCTGTAGAGGAGCCTGTAGTTCAGCTGGTTTTCTTCTAACTCCAGCATCTGTAGTTTTATGCTTTGTGATGCCAGAGCATAGTCATTTACATAAGGAATTTTTTTTTTTTTTTTTTTTTTTTTTTTTTTTTTTTGGTCCTGGAGGTTCTTGCAGACAGGATGGGGTGTGAGGGACTTTGTCCTGACAGGCAGCTATATAAAGCAGTTGGTGATTCAGCATTTACTGTGCCCCACACAGACTCCTCTGTTATCATACC